ATTGAATCAAATGACCTCGCTAGCTCCATTTTTCTTAAGACCATTCAGTTTTCATCCTAAAACAATCTGGCTCTGTCCGCACTCTGCTCCTAAAACTCCTGTCCTGAAAATTACCAGTGCATGTGGGAATTAGGAGTTACAGTTGATATTTGCCTTGAAAAGGATAAAAGAAACACATATAGGATGTTTAGTTATTATTTAGTTCAGATTTAATTATCAGGTATATATTTCCCATCTATTTATTACTAGTCAACACCTGGCCGTGACTATTACTCACCTTTGTACCTCTCAGCAAGAAAGAAGTTGAGCCAATAATGATGAAGTTCTCTGCTTCACTAGGTGGGTCTCAGGAGGAAATGAGCCAGTGAGCGGGAGGCCAGCCCCTCTGATGGAACGGTGGCAGGGAAGGACCATCAGCAGGGTGCTGGCTCTGTTCTAATGGGTTAGAGCTGAGGCAGGGCTGAGCCGGAAATGGCAGTACATCCTAACTGTTTGGGGGTAATCTTTGAACCCAACCTTCTGCTCTCCACAACACTTGGACAGGTACTAAGTCAGTTGTGGTCCGAGAGGGCTCACTCACACAGCATCCACTCTAAGCCACAGCAGTAGGAGGGAAAAATGCCTGATGTCTGAGAAAACTGCCCTGTGACCAGGGGCTGGGAATTCAGAGAACACATTGTCATTTCACTCAATACACAAAGTTAAAAAATTCCTAGCCTTGCTCAGTGTGTTCATTTTAAGAGCCATTTGCAGCAGCCAATAACTTCTTTTTTTTTTTTTTTTGTCTTTTTGTCTTTTTTCGTGACCAGCAACAGATCGCAACCCTCAGTGTCGCGCCCGTACCGGACCGGGACTGGCAACGGGATTGCAACCCTCGGTGTTGCCCCCGCTCCTCACTCAGCCAGTGAGCGGCCGGTCTGTATGTGGGATCTGAACCCTCGGCGGGAGAGCCGCCGCGCTTCCCAAGCGGCGCACTGTAGCAGTGCGCCACTGGGCCGGCCCAGCAGCCAATAACTTCTTAAAGGCCATACTTGAGAGGCTGGTTTCAGCCTTTAGTGCAAGATTCTGCAGCATCTGAGAGTTATGCATTCCTTCCTTCTTCCAGCAACTTCTAGACCTCCGCTCTCTCCTAGTTTCTCCTTTCTCTGGCTTCTCCTTATCAGCCTCCTTAATGACATCTTCCTCCACCACCAGCCCCATAAATAGCATTCAGCAGGAAACCATTCTCTCCCTGGTTAATATCATTGGCATTTTCATCATAAATGAGATGGCTCCTGAACCTCTGGGCATTTCAGCCCAAATGTGGAGTACCACTCCTCTTGGATCGTCCCCAAGGACCTCAAAATGGGAATGTCTAAGGGTAAACATTTTCATCTTTCTCTCCCCTGCTAAAACCTGGACTCTGTATTACCTAATTTGATGGATTGCCTTCCTTCCATTCACTGGTCCCTTCCTCCCCCTTCCAAACTATGATGAGCAAATCCTTGCTGACTCAACCTCTGGAATAGCTCTCAAATCCATTCCTTCCCTCCACTGCTTTAGTCAGGGCCTTACTCCTTAACGAGGTCCCCCTGCTTGAAAACTCTTTTTGTACTTCTTTTATGATTACTCATACTTGCTTCTCTGTACTGGTAATCTGCAGATATTTGTGATTTTTCCATACTAGATTATAACTTCCTTACATAGAGAAACCATTTTTTTGGTCCTATTATCTCTTGTGATAATACTGTGCTTTGCACACAATGAATGTTTGATCAATAGACTATGGCAATAGAGAATGGATTATCTTAAAGTGACAGTACTTATTCCCGAAAAGAACAACTCATTAGATAATTAAATACTACTCTAACTTCTACCAGCCCAATTAACAATGTTATATATACACCCAGGCAATACACACAGACACATTCACACACGGTATGACCTTAGCTACCTTTAAGTCGATCTTCTAGCAAACAAAAAGAAAGGACCAATCTCCCAAACAATTAAAACATAAATTGGGTCATATTTTTGTTGTTGGTCTTCCTTGAGGACAATGACACAATGCCTAGTTGCAAGTGAGAAAATATTTTGCAAATCTATTTTCTCAAAATGCCACCAAACATGGGTCATGCATCTTTTTTCTTGCATTTTGACCCCATTGCTATGACTTAGTGTGGTAATTATATTACAAAGCTATTATTCGATAATATGAAAATGGCAAAACAATTTAAACGCTTGTCTGAAAAGACTGTTAGAATGCAATTATGAGTGAAATTACAATGGCAAAATCATTAAAATGCAAGTCTGGAAGGCACAGTTATGAAACCATTAAAATGCTTCTGTTGGGGACTCACAACATTGAGTGAAACTATACACTCCTGGGGACACAATTTTAATTCACTAAAGCAGGCAACATTTATGGACAGATGAAGATATCTGTGCTCCAATTGTTCTTCAACATTATCTACACTTCTTAATACCACCTGGGGGTGTGTAACATTAGGGTTTCTGGGTTTAGAGGTTTGACTGATAAGAGGACCATATGTAATACTGTGCTGCCATTCAGCACCAAGAAGATAAGGCACAATGGCAATCTTGGCTTACGTTTTCCTGATGTTCCCAATATAAAAGCTAGGATCACAACATGAAAAGATTTTTATTCTAAACTTAAGACTCCAATTATTAAATATATGTGTGGATGCATTTCTAAGGATCTGTCTTCTTGAAACATTCTGCTGACATATTCCTTTAGCAAAATCTTGATAAATATTTTGATGTCCAGACTTACAGTGCATATACAGTTGACCCTTGGACACATGAGAGTCAGGGGTGCCCAACCCCTCCTGCAGTCAAAAATCTGCATATAACTTTTGACTCCTCAAAAATTACCAATAGCCTACTGTTAACTGGAAGGCTTACTGATAACATAAACAGTAATTACCACATATTTTGTATGTTTTATGTATTATATACTGTACTCTTACACTAAAGTAAGGTAGAGAAAAGAAAATGTTATCAAAATGGTAAGCTCCAAAGGTAAAAAATAAATAAATAAATAATAGAAAAAATAAATAAATAAAGGTTAAAAAATGTTATTAAGAAAATTATAAGGAGAGAAAATACATTTACAGTACTGTAGCATATTTATCAATACAGCAAGTTTTCTAAATTGAAAAAAATCCACGTTTAAGTGGACCTGTGCAGTTCAAACCGTGTTGTTCAAGGGTCAGCTGTACTTGCTCACCAAATAAAAAAGAAAAAACAAAATACAGTGAAGATACAAAACAGATCTGCTAAAATGAGCAATTTGACAAATGACCAAGGACCCTCCTCTGAGGCATGGTGATGTCTGCATTTAGATGGTTGAACACACAAATGAGTCTAGGAGCAAAAATATGCAAAATATGCCCCCCGACTACCATTCCTTCACCCTTCACAATCTGCCTTCATGGATCCATCTCTTTCAGTTAACTCTAAAGAAACAAATACTAGAAGTGGGTCATATAAAAGAACAAGTGTTAAAGGAATAAAAAGATGTAAATCCTTTTTCTTATTCATGATTCTCTCTCTTGTGTTGTCAGAGACCAACTTAGGATATGATATTTAATTTTAATCACACAGAAAATATCTCAGTATCAATGATTATAACATTATTTAATGAAGTTACTAGGTTTCCACACACACAAAAATTGTATACTTTTGTTCTTCAAGCTGTAGTTTTAAAAAGTCCCTTGGAAATATAGTTACTAAATAGTCTTACTTTCTTTCACAGACTCCAGATCACACAAGGATTAATATGCACATAAACATGTTCACTGAGGCAGGATTTGCAAAAGGAGTTTGGAAATCCTCCCGACTTAGTGTACCAAGTATTTGAAGTAGACAAACTGTTGGGGATATTCTATCGTGTGCATGTTTCTGGGCCTTCTTATTTTCCCTTGCACAAACTCAGGGAATGTTAACTAGATACAGCTTTGTTCTTACAAATGAACCTTGAGTGCATAGTAACTTTAAAACAAAAATCAAATCTGTTGTCTATATATTTTATACAGAGGTCATACTATTTTTAATGGCTGTAATTTAAATATAAATACGATTTGAAATAAATTTTTTTTTTTTCCTTTTTTCGTGTCTGGCAATGGACCACAACCCTCAGTGTCGCGCCCGTACCGGACCGAGACCGGCAACGGGATCGCACCCCTCGGTGCTGCGCCCGCCCCTCGCTCAGCCAGTGAGCGGGAACCGGTCTGTATGTGGGATCCGAACCCTCAGCGGGAGCGCTGCCACGCTCCCAAGCGGCTCACTGTATTCTTTTTTTTTTTTTTTGAAATAAATTTTAAATCATATGAAGAAATGAAAATTTTCCAGTTTAGGCACAAAGATACAAACCTTGAAAAAGATAAAAAACAAAACAAAACAACAAACAAAAAACATGTCACCTAGAGAAAATTCTATGAATAACACTAATTGAAAAAAATAAGCAAATATACACACAGATCATAGAAAAAAAATTAGCAGGGTCCTAAAAATATTTTAACTATAGTATTATACGTAAATTTGAAATTTAAAATCACATTTGTCAGAGTTTTATAGAATCAACCTCTGTATTTGGAAAGGTTTCAAATCAGTTTCATGTTAATAGTTTTATTAACTTCTAAGAGCATATCTTTGCAAACCAATGTAACTATTATAATAGTATAAGTTAAAATATATTCCTCTAACTTACTCTGAAATGCATAAAAAGTATGTTGGATTGATGCATATATAGATGGACAGATAGGTAATAAAAAAATACGGTAAATGTTAACCACAGAATCTAGGTGTTGGATATATACAGGGGTTCAATGTAAAATTATTTTGATTCTTTTGTGTGTTTAAAGTTTTTCACAATAAAAGATCTAGTTGAAAAAAATGCAGTGCCGCAACACAAAAGTATTTATTCTATATATGGATAACCGTGCTCAATAAATAAATCGGTTTCAGAATTTGTCTCACTGACATAGCACAAACACACTCACCTAGCCATCCGGATCCTGAATTTGGTATGCATAGGTCTGTCTCCGCACTGGGCAACACAAAGCCGACGACAAACACCTCCACACCGTCCGCCATGAGAGCCATGCCCAGGACGAAGAAAAGGGCCCACTGGAAACGCCCATGACCGCACTCCTGGATTATCAGCTCATACTGCTGGGCTAGCTCTTCCTCGTCAGCTCTCCTCTCGGACTCCAGCTCCTGTCGGTCCTTGCACTCGTCACCCTTGGGCTGCCCCATGGACACTATGCTGTCTTTCCCCTGGTTCATCCTGGGGATGCCCTGATACTCGCCCTCGTAGATTTCATCATCTTCGTCATGACCCTCAGTAGCTTCACTTGAGCCTTCATCCTCGTTGGCTTCCCCATCGTAGGGTTCCCCCGGCGGGTAATAGTCATCATCCTCCTCTTCATCTTGGAAGCGACTGTAGGACCTCTGGGTGTATTCATCCTGGGCCCGGTCCACGGCTTGATTCACTTTCTTTACTGTTTGTTTCTTCACCTCTTTGGCAATGTCCTTGGCACCCTTCATCAGTGAAGTCCTGTCCTTGTAAGTCTCTTCCATCTTGTCTAAACCGATGGCCAATGAGAAGACAGGAATTTTCCACAGACTCTGTTCAGGGGTTCAGCCCTGGCTGCATCATCCAATTTTGGTTCAAAACAGAACTGCAAAAGAAGAACCAGAGCAGATACTTATTATTCCCTTCTGTGTCTTTCCCACTATCTATTTCTTGGTCTCTTTTCACTGCCCCACAGACTAAGACACAGAATTCACTTTTCCTTTTTTATTATCTCATTGTACACCTGCACTCCATATACTGGTTCTCTGCTTAAGTGTGATTAGCACTTGCAGTATTTAGGGTTTCTACTGTTATTATTATTATTATTTGGTTTTAAGGAATTTTGTCCTCCGGGTAACATTACGCAGGCATTACACTGAGAATAAAACAGAGCATCTTGCGCCTTTAAAATTGCACCCAACACATTTCAAAAGAGCCATAAGGCTATACCTTGATTGAGAAAAATAATATTGCTCACAGTCACACAAACACACACTATAGAGGCAAAACCAGAGTATTAGAAGAACGCTGCCAGACTTTATTTCCTCACATTGAAAAAAACAGAAAAGCAAGTGAGCAGCACTATATATAATACATTTCTCTCTACTTCCATTTTTTTCCTCCCGACAATTGAAAACAGATTCACAGGGCACCCAAGACTGACAATGAGTATTTTCCCTACTACAGTGGTTGTATCTGTAGGAAATTTGCAGAGTTCATCAAATGATTTTACAGATACATTTGATAATCGTTGAGTTAAGAACATATGTCTCGTTCAGTGGGGGCTCTGCCCTTTTAAAAACCAGCACCAGGCCAGCAGGGACAGGTAAGCCCCATGTGATGGACTTTCACACCCCCACCCTGTAAGTACTCCAGCTTTATCTCTATTTTCTTCATCTCTGGACAACCTCCCCCCTCATCCCCCCACACACTCCCTCCCACCTTGTCCTACTGCCACTCCAGCTAGCTGTTGTCCTGGACACCAGAGTCTGCAGCCTTCTGTGACCATTTGGTTTTCTTTCTCACTGGTAGACCCTCTGTCTTGGCTCTTTAAATTTGGGCTGACCTCATGGTAACTTATATTTCACTTGTCCACTGAGCTGTCTCTTCTGGTGGCTCAGGCAAGCCAACATCAGACCCATCCTTGTACAAGGTGACATAAATGTGAAAAAAGTCATTCCCCCCATTGCTAATTCCCCAAGCCCTAAGTTGTGGCAGCATTCCAAACACTGATTTATATAATGGTCATTTCTACTTTTTTTTTGTACCCAGTGTAAAATACTTGGTACCTGGCTATTACAAACATACATTTAACTGTTCATCCAAATATCACAAACAAACCCAGCAAGACAAAAGGATGTTTGTTTATAAATGGACTGTGCCTCCTTCCCACTGACTACCTACAAATGCTCAGTAGGCACAATAGAAGCAAGGCTCTGCCTTGGCCTGTGTTTTGGAAGACGGCAAAATGAAATTAAAATACACATATGATTACAAGGCTTTTTACCAAATGCTTTAATAAAGGATTTTCTGTTCGTTTTCCCTTTTCTTTGTTTTTTGGAGAGCTGGGAGGCAAGAAAGATGGGAGGATCGATGGGGACAGTAAGAAAAGATGGGAAGGTGGTGAGAAAAGAGGTTGAGGACAGGGTTGCCAAGTAACTCAAGATAGAGAATGGAAAAAAGAGAAAGAAGGGGGAGAGAGGACAGTGATAAACAATGCTGAAATGGAGAGACACGTCCTCCTTTAAACATTAACAGCAAAATTAAAACATATCACACAATAAATAGAGCCAACTGCTATCCTGTCCACAGAACGGATGATGACATTGGACGCTGCACACCAGCTGCCTCCTGGACACAGTCAGCACTGGAGACAGCCCCGAGGGAGATCCAAAGACAGCAGAGTCTGAGCCACCGTTAACGTGCTGCCCCAGCACCTTTGTGTCATGGAAAGTTTCTGTGACAGCTTCTAAGATAGTTTCTAAGATATTATAAATAAATTGACTGCATATAGCTTTTCTGCTTTTGTTTCCGGCCACAGATATTCTTCCCACATGACTCAAGGAGCTCTCACCCCCCAAAAATTTCCTTGCGTGGGGGCCACCTCTATAAGAGGTATCAGGCGTGGTGTCTTGAATGTCATGGTTATGATTGGAAAAGTGGACAATTCTAACTCCCTAAGTGATCTTATCACTTGAGCAATGAAAAAGTTAAATAAAAAAGAGTTTTACAATTAAACACTCTGTTTCAAAAAAAATTCTTCTCACAAAAAGCTTGGTTTTAATTCTGGACCAAAACAAGACATGTGCATATATAAGTTCTTTCTTTTTGTTTTTTGGTGTCTGGCTGGTAAAGGGATTTAACCTTGGATCTTGCTGTTATCAGCACCATGCTCTGTAAGTTCTTTTTTTGACTCAAGTTTCCTCATCCCCCAAATTGAAGCTCCAGCTAAATTTTCAGATCCTTGAGGGAAGAGAATTGGCTTTGTAGTTTGTAGTCTTGCTAAAGCAAAGAAGATTTTCAGTGCTTTTTCATAAATAAGGGCAAGAATGAAAACTTATGCAAAGGTTCTGTTTAAAGTCTTATGTTTGTAGTTGTTGCCATTGGGGTTAACTGGGTGAGGGGTGTAGGGGATGTCTCTATTATTTCTTACAACTGCATGTGATCTACAATGATCTCAAAATACAAAGTTAAACAAAAAAACAAGTTTGTATCATCCTTATAAAGCAATCTTGGAAACTATGCAGGATGCTTGGCTATTACCTCTCTATGGTAGATGGAAAAATGTAAAAAGCTTGGCTTATTCCAGAGATTGTCAGGGAAATGGCTGATTGATATCTGTGTCAGAAGTGAGAAAGAAAAGTAGCTCAGAACAATTTGAGCAATGTGAGGTCTGCTACACTTATCAGACTCAGAGAGATGTGAGCACAGGGCTTCAGTCACGTCCCCCTCACCCATAACCAGGATAATTGCTAAAAGACAGGTTTTACCTAAATGTCCATCGATGGATGAGTGGATAAGGAAGCTGTGGTATATATATATATATACCATGGAATACTACTCTGCCATAAAAAAGAACGAAATTCTCCCATTTGCAACAACATGGATGAGCCTGAAGAAACTTATGTTGAGTGAAATAAGCAAAGCACAGAGGGATAAATACCGCATGTGCTCACTCATAAGTGGGAGCTAAGAGAGAAAGAAGGAAGGAAAGAAAGACCACAGTAGTGCATTGGGAGGGAGAGAACATACCTTGGGATACAAAGTGGAGTGGGAAAAGGGGGAGGGGGAGGGTGGTTGGGGATAATTGAGTGGGGGACAAGGGGTACAATCGCAAGTTGTGGTAATGGACATGCTGCCAGCATGGATCTGGCCTTCATATCTTGGGCATGAGGGGAGACAATCAATTTTGTATCTCATGAATATTACTAACCAATAATAAAAAAAGGAAAAAATATCAGAAGGCATTTACAGATTACAAAAAAAGAAAGATAGGATATCCTTGTATTCCTTGTTTTTAATAAAGTCATTATATTAAGGATAAAGTCTTGTTAATGATTATAAAAATTTGTGTTACTTACCTAAATTTCCCCATTCAGAAATGTTTTTGTTTCCATTGCAGTGGGACCAAATTATAGAACATCATTTACATAGCTAACAGACCAAATGTATCAGCAGTGGAAGCATTTGCATTAATTAAAAAATAAAGTATGTTTATATATATATAAAAAGACAGGTTTTAGCTACAGTATCCATCACCAATGGGGTCAAATTACCCAATGTTATCACAACTTGTATAGTGTGACCCTCACTCTTTCTCTGTTGGAACATTTCTGGAATTTATGATGCAAAGAGCAATGTATAAGTAGCTTGTGTTATTTTAGTGAACCAATGTAAACTCTTGGCAGACAGCTTTGGAACTGCCCCCTTTAACTTCTCCTTTTTCCCTATAAAAGTATCTGTAACTGCTGCCAAGCAGAGCACATGTTCAGGGCAACTTGAATTTGTGACTCCTCGGCTGCAGTTCTCAAACTGGGCCCAGATAAACTTCTTGTTTTATATACTTTTACCTTAGTTTCTTCTTTCAGATCAACAGAAGGTTACACCTGAATTAAAGCAGCAGTTTTCAAGGTGGGGCCTATACAACAGGCGTGGCCTACAAGGTCTATGAGCAGCTGCTTATAGTATCATCAAAGTTTGCAGACATTGTTTCTGGAATGAATTACCAAGTTATACCACATAATATATGCCAGGTACCATATCAATGAAAAACATAACAAAACAAGCTAGCTTGATTTAGTGCTTACTATTTGCCAAGCATTGTGCTAAGAACTTTACATATATTCTTTTATTCTTTTATTTAATCCTTACTTCAATCGTACAGAACAGATATTATAGTCTCCACCTTACAGATGAGCAAATTAGGGCCTAGAGAGATTGAAAAATTAGCCCAAGCTCACGAAGCTTGTTGGAGGAGGTGCTGGGCTCAAGCTTAGGTGGGTATGACCTTAAAGGCTTCCCCTTATCCTCACATGTGTTAAACAGTGCTCTTGCTGGGTTCTTAGTAAAAGCCACAGCCTTCTTCCTAGTCAGTCTAGTAACTTTTTTTCCCCTATACTAAAATTGTTTTATAACCTCTTCTCTAAATCATCTTGTAGGTTCTGACATAAGGACAATTGTTGTGATATCTTTCACTGGTGATTATCTTTACATGGATCATAATTCTAAAATGTGGTCTTGTTTGTTCAGATAAACTACTCCAAGATGGTGGCTGTACTTCAGAAGATAATATAGTCATGTTAAGTAAGATGTTAGTGAGCCAGGACGACAGGAAAGTAGGCAAAGCACAGAAACACTAATAACCTCCCGTTAGCTCATGATGCCCCTTCTCATTTATTCAAGTCGGTTTCCTTTTCCGTGAAATAAGAATAATAACTATCTTACAGTGTTGCAAAGATTAAATGACTTATGTAGACTGTTTTTAGGACAGAACTTGACATTTATTAAGTGCTTTTCATTCAGGGTCCCCAGAAACAGACCTGCCAAAAGGAGCCAGGTGCAAATCATTTATTAAAAAG